ACTAGTTTAATAATGATGACTAGGGGTGCAATTAGGACGAGGTAACCTGAACCCAACACAAGTTTTAACACACAAATTTCAGTTTTTGGGTTGAGTTTGAAAGGAAAAAATAAATTAATCCAAATTAAATTCGGGCAATACACAACTTACAACTTTGGGTTAATGAGTTCAACCCAAACCCAATCCAAATTTATAAAATTGGGTTTAACCCAAAATTTGAAAAGAAAATTAAAAAATTACATGCGCACACCTATTAAGGCATTTATGCCACACTCTTCATCCATTGTTGTTTTAAGCCTATTGTAAATGCTAATTTTATTTTTTTGTTTTTAATTAATTTTAATTCATGGGAGTTACAAAATTCAAGTTCAATTTTAATGTTGAACATAAAACTCAACCTTATAATTGGTTCAATTTGGTTTCGATTAATAACAAATCTGACTTTAATCCGACTTCAATCCAAACTAAAACCCAAATTGTATAATCACGGATTGGACTCGATTTGGAGTTGCTCAGTTTGTGCTTGAGTTCAAGATTTCATATTTTGGATTGAACATGAATTGATCCCCTCAACCCATCCGATCCGCCCAAGTTGCACCCCTAACTATGACCACCATTATCTAAAGAGATGCAGTAACGCTATGGAAGGTAGCTTAGTTAACCTAACAGAATACCTCGCAACAAGGAACTTCAAGCCCAAATACCATTAATCCCGACAATAGAAAAATGATTAAATCTCTTGCACAAACATGTTTCAACCCCAGACCTTTTAATAAACTATCAACTCTCATCAGTTTGATCCAGGTCCGACTTGGATGCATAGCCAAGCATAACGAGGAAATAAGAAAGATGAAGTAGAAGTTCAACTTGACATTTAACAATCATCTAAGTTTAACATATTCAAAATAGCTGTTTCATCTATACATACATGTATTCACCCCCACGAACGGCATTTGCAGCTCCTTTCCTCTCTTCCTCAGCCTCCTTCTCCCTCTCCTTCCAACTTTCATAGGCATGATCATCAGTTTGCAGTTCATGCCGACAGATTGGACAAGAATTGTGGTCATCCTGCCACAATTAGAATTACTACAGGTTAAGAATTCGGATTTCACTAAGTTTTAATCAATCACATCCAGAGATAAAGAAACTTAAATCTACAAGAACTGAAGCCCAAAAAGATTATTGCTTTTTTTCATTTCCATTGGTAAGTTTAAACTTATTACCAGCCATGGCTTAAGGCAAGGAGGGTGAAACGTGTGCTTGCAAGGCAACTCTTGCATCTTGTCACTTACAACCAAATTCTCCTTGCAAATGGCACATTCTGCATCTGGTCCTAGCTTGGTCAGGATTTCTTCAGTAATTGTAGTAACTGGAAGCTTTGCAACCACTTCTTTACTGGCAGGTGGTACTCTGGGTGCCACAGGATCGTTATCCAGTATCTTAAAACAAAAAGACATTGGTATCAAGGTACTACTTCCAATATGAACATTCATAAGACCAAATCTTCTTCTTTGTTAATAAGTGTGTGTTTGCATAAGCATATTTAACTAGGACACACCATCCCTGTAAGACTACAACTAATCCTCCCAAGAACATGAAGCCCCTTGTCCTGCATCCAAACAGGATAATTACCAAGATGTATCAACAAAGGGAGCCTCAAGGGGAATGACTCCAACTTCGGACCTCAATCTTCATCATTTTACTGACCTACTTAATTTATACTTTTCTCGTGCCATATACATGTGAAAATTATATTGACTCTACACTCTTAACAGATACCAGTTTTTTTCCTCATCCAGATTTTTTCTAAACTAGAATAAATAGTATTTGAGCAGGAAATAATAAGTTCCAAACAAACAGGAAAAAACTGAGCAGTTAGCTAAGGGAAAAAAGAATACCATTGGCACAACATTATCAAGTCTCTGTAGTAGTTCTTGAATTAAATTGGTATTGCTCTCTGATGTGTCCAAATTTTCCGTTTGAGAAGATCCCCCTGCAGACAAGGTAGCAATAGCTGTCATAAGGCCAGATTGCACCAGCCAATCAGGCTCCGGAGGCTCAGGGTCCACAGTAAGATGCCCGTCAAACAGAAATCCTGTAATATAAGCAAAACATAAAGGTCAAAAACTTGTCACTTACAAAGCTAGCACAGCAAATTGATGGCTAATTTCTGAAAAAGAATTTAAGAAATAAATGCTGATGGACCTCCACTCGTGCTATTTCGTCCTGATCCCACACCCTCAAACTCATTCTGTACATATCGAAGCTGCTCCTGGGCTTCAGCTATGCAACTCTGCAAATGTTTCCTTTCAGAAGGTTCAGACACTAGATGTTCAGCCTCCAGGAAAAGCCCCAGGCCAGTATTCCAAAATCCAGGTGCCGTGTATCTCGTCTTTAAAATAGTCGCAACCCGACATACAATGGAATAGAACTGCAGCATGTGGATGGTTTGTTATAAATATAAAGTTTCCCCGACATGGAAATATCAATAACAATGCTTCAATGAAGTAAAAAAGGAAAAAGGAAAAAAATAAGAACAAAATGAATAGATAAGTTTAAGATGGTGATCAAAATAAACAATTACTTCAATCATCAGGAGGAAACATCATTTTAATTCACCAATAAACGGGATCAATAAGAGATTAAGAAATCTTGACACAGAGAAGAAACCAAAGGTGAAAATCATGGGCTTGACTCAACTCAACTAAATTCAGCAAAGCCTAATCCCAATATTTTTTGGGTCAACTACATGAATCATGTTTTGCCATTCTGCTCTATTAAGTGTCATGTTTTCTATTAAATCATAAACTATCATATCTTTTTTTACTATTTCATTCAATTTTAATTTGAGTCTTCCTCTAACCCTACGTTTACTGCCAATAGTTATTATATCACTTTTTTACCGGTGTCGTATAATCATGGGTTCAAAGTCGCGGTATCGGTCATCAACTCGGATGGCACTGATACACATCGGTCGCAGCGCGCGGTACAGTATCGGCCGATACACTCAAAACGCTAGATAAAAACTCTAAAAAAATTTGAAAAAATCATAAAATTTTTTTGAAAAATATAAACATCATCATCCATACATTATATGCCCACAATAAATCAAAAAACACATTAAACATATTAAAATGAAACATAAGGGCGTTACCGAAAATATTGATCATTATCAATATTCAACTAATTGAAATTAAAATATTAATATTGATATATCTAATTATTATATNTATTTTTAGTTTTAATGAGTTATGGATATGTTTATAGCCTTAATCAGCACAAGTATATTCTGATCAGCCGGCGAAACACATACTAAAATTGTTCAATACAATTTGCTATAGAATTCTGTTTTCGGCAACCCATGTGACCCAGGTCGGTTCAACATAACCAAGCTCAACTGAACATAGATCTAAATTGCAAAGCAAAAGCGTTGTTTTAAGTATGAAGTTTTTGAAATGCTTTACACCTATATTATCCTACAAGCATTAATTTCAATTTACATCAAAATCCATACATGCTATGTGACTAGTTTAATAATGATGACTAGGGGGTGCAATTAGGACGAGGTAACCTGAACCCAACACAAGTTTTAAAACACAAATTTCAGTTCTTGGGTTGAGTTTGAAAGGGAAAAAAAATTAATCCAAATTAAATTCGGGCAATACTCAACTTACAATTTTGAGTTAATGAGTTCAACCCAAACCCAACCCAAATTTATAGAATTGGGTTTAACCCAAAATTTGAAAAGAAAATTAAAAAATTACATGCGCACACCTATTAAGGCATTTATGCCACACTCTTCATCCATTGTTGTTTTAAGCCTATTGTAAATGCTAATTTTATTTTTTTGTTTTTAATTAATTTTAATTCATGGGAGTTACAAAATTCAAGTTCAATTTTAATGTTGAACATAAAACTCAACCTTATAATTGGTTCAATTTGGTTTCGATTAATAACAAATCTGACTTTAATCCGACTTCAATCCAAACTAAAACCCAAATTGTATAATCACGGATTGGACTCGATTTGGAGTTGCTCAGTTTGTGCTTGAGTTCAAGATTTCATATTTTGGATTGAACATGAATTGATCCCCTCAACCCATCCGATCCGCCCAAGTTGCACCCCTAACTATGACCACCATTATCTAAAGAGATGCAGTAACGCTATGGAAGGTAGCTTAGTTAACCTAACAGAATACCTCGCAACAAGGAACTTCAAGCCCAAATACCATTAATCCCGACAATAGAAAAATGATTAAATCTCTTGCACAAACATGTTTCAACCCCAGACCTTTTAATAAACTATCAACTCTCATCAGTTTGATCCAGGTCCGACTTGGATGCATAGCCAAGCATAACGAGGAAATAAGAAAGATGAAGTAGAAGTTCAACTTGACATTTAACAATCATCTAAGTTTAACATATTCAAAATAGCTGTTTCATCTATACATACATGTATTCACCCNAGCATAAAACTCAACCTTATATTTGGTTCAATTTGGTTTCGATTAATAACAAATCTGACTTTAATCCGACTTCAATCCAAACTAAAACCCGAATTGTATAATCACGGATTGGACTCGATTTGGAGTTGCTCAGTTTGTGCTTGAGTTCAAGATTTCATATTTTGGATTGAACATGAATTGATCCCCTCAACCCATCCGATCCGCCCAAGTTGCACCCCTAACTATGACCACCATTATCTAAAGAGATGCAGTAACGCTATGGAAGGTAGCTTAGTTAACCTAACAGAATACCTCGCAACAAGGAACTTCAAGCCCAAATACCATTAATCCCGACAATAGAAAAATGATTAAATCTCTTGCACAAACATGTTTCAACCCCAGACCTTTTAATAAACTATCAACTCTCATCAGTTTGATCCAGGTCCGACTTGGATGCATAGCCAAGCATAACGAGGAAATAAGAAAGATGAAGTAGAAGTTCAACTTGACATTTAACAATCATCTAAGTTTAACATATTCAAAATAGCTGTTTCATCTATACATACATGTATTCACCCCCACGAACGGCATTTGCAGCTCCTTTCCTCTCTTCCTCAGCCTCCTTCTCCCTCTCCTTCCAACTTTCATAGGCATGATCATCAGTTTGCAGTTCATGCCGACAGATTGGACAAGAATTGTGGTCATCCTGCCACAATTAGAATTACTACAGGTTAAGAATTCGGATTTCACTAAGTTTTAATCAATCACATCCAGAGATAAAGAAACTTAAATCTACAAGAACTGAAGCCCAAAAAGATTATTGCTTTTTTTCATTTCCATTGGTAAGTTTAAACTTATTACCAGCCATGGCTTAAGGCAAGGAGGGTGAAACGTGTGCTTGCAAGGCAACTCTTGCATCTTGTCACTTACAACCAAATTCTCCTTGCAAATGGCACATTCTGCATCTGGTCCTAGCTTGGTCAGGATTTCTTCAGTAATTGTAGTAACTGGAAGCTTTGCAACCACTTCTTTACTGGCAGGTGGTACTCTGGGTGCCACAGGATCGTTATCCAGTATCTTAAAACAAAAAGACATTGGTATCAAGGTACTACTTCCAATATGAACATTCATAAGACCAAATCTTCTTCTTTGTTAATAAGTGTGTGTTTGCATAAGCATATTTAACTAGGACACACCATCCCTGTAAGACTACAACTAATCCTCCCAAGAACATGAAGCCCCTTGTCCTGCATCCAAACAGGATAATTACCGAGATGTATCAACAAAGGGAGCCTCAAGGGGAATGACTCCAACTTCGGACCTCAATCTTCATCATTTTACTGACCTACTTAATTTATACTTTTCTCGTGCCATATACATGTGAAAATTATATTGACTCTACACTCTTAACAGATACCAGTTTTTTTCCTCATCCAGATTTTTTCTAAACTAGAATAAATAGTATTTGAGCAGGAAATAATAAGTTCCAAACAAACAGGAAAAAACTGAGCAGTTAGCTAAGGGAAAAAAGAATACCATTGGCACAACATTATCAAGTCTCTGTAGTAGTTCTTGAATTAAATTGGTATTGCTCTCTGATGTGTCCAAATTTTCCGTTTGAGAAGATCCCCCTGCAGACAAGGTAGCAATAGCTGTCATAAGGCCAGATTGCACCAGCCAATCAGGCTCCGGAGGCTCAGGGTCCACAGTAAGATGCCCGTCAAACAGAAATCCTGTAATATAAGCAAAACATAAAGGTCAAAAACTTGTCACTTACAAAGCTAGCACAGCAAATTGATGGCTAATTTCTGAAAAAGAATTTAAGAAATAAATGCTGATGGACCTCCACTCGTGCTATTTCGTCCTGATCCCACACCCTCAAACTCATTCTGTACATATCGAAGCTGCTCCTGGGCTTCAGCTATGCAACTCTGCAAATGTTTCCTTTCAGAAGGTTCAGACACTAGATGTTCAGCCTCCAGGAAAAGCCCCAGGCCAGTATTCCAAAATCCAGGTGCCGTGTATCTCGTCTTTAAAATAGTCGCAACCCGACATACAATGGAATAGAACTGCAGCATGTGGATGGTTTGTTATAAATATAAAGTTTCCCCGACATGGAAATATCAATAACAATGCTTCAATGAAGTAAAAAAGGAAAAAGGAAAAAAATAAGAACAAAATGAATAGATAAGTTTAAGATGGTGATCAAAATAAACAATTACTTCAATCATCAGGAGGAAACATCATTTTAATTCACCAATAAACGGGATCAATAAGAGATTAAGAAATCTTGACACAGAGAAGAAACCAAAGGTGAAAATCATGGGCTTGACTCAACTCAACTAAATTCAGCAAAGCCTAATCCCAATATTTTTTGGGTCAACTACATGAATCATGTTTTGCCATTCTGCTCTATTAAGTGTCATGTTTTCTATTAAATCATAAACTATCATATCTTTTTTTACTATTTCATTCAATTTTAATTTGAGTCTTCCTCTAACCCTACGTTTACTGCCAATAGTTATCATATCACTTTTTTACCGGTGTCGTATAATCATGGTTGAAAGTCGCAGTATCGGTCATCAACTCGGATGGCACTGATACACATCGGTCGTGGCGTCGCGGTACAGTATCGGCCGATACACTCAAAACGCTAGATAAAAACTCTAAAAAAATTTGACAAAATCATAAAAATTTTTTGAAAAATATAAACATCATCATCCATGCATTATATGCCCACAATAAATCAAAAAACACATTAAACATATTAAAATGAAACATAAGGGCGTTACCGAAAATATTGATCATTATCAATATTCAACTAATTGAAATTAAAATATTAATATTGATATATCTAATTATTATATTAGATTTAAAAAGTNATCCAGAGATAAAGAAACTTAAATCTACAAGAACTGAAGCCCAAAAAGATTATTGCTTTTTTTCATTTCCATTGGTAAGTTTAAACTTATTACCAGCCATGGCTTAAGGCAAGGAGGGTGAAACGTGTGCTTGCAAGGCAANTATATGTTAGATTGAAATATTTTTTGTCTAAGTATAATATTTTAAACTTAAAGGGTCTAAGTAATATATGTTTACAAACTTTAGGGGGGTCTGAAAATAATTTATTAACGGTATATTTACAGCAGGGTCTATCTGTTTCGCTTGTACAAACTTTAGGGGTTTGTATATAATATTTCAAATATTAAGAGTCTAAATGATTAAGTGATAAAATTTAAGGAGTGTGAGTGTAATTCTCCAAAAAAAAATTGATTCACCGACAACAAAGTCTTTTATAACTCTGTTTGAGAGTCGGTCCTTCAGAGCTCGGCCTTCAGACTCTGTGTATGGAGAGAGAGTGGTTCGATACGCTGTGTATCGACGATCATTGGAAAACTGGTTCGCGACTACTTCTCTATCTNACGGAAGGCAGCTTAGTTAACCTAACAGAATACTTCGCAACAAGGAACTTCAAGCCCAAATACCATTAATCCCGACCATAGAAAAATGATTAAATCTTTTGCACAAACATGTTTCAACTCCAGACCTTTTAATAAACTATCAACTCTCATCAGTTTGATCCAGGTCCAACTTGGATGCATAGCCAAGCATAACGAGGAAATAAGAAAGATGAAGTAGAAGTTCAACTTGACATTTAACAATCGTCTAAGTTTAACATATTCAAAATAGCTGTTTCATCTATACATACATGTATTCACCCCCACGAACGGCATTTGCAGCTCCTTTCCTCTCTTCCTCAGCCTCCTTCTCCCTCTCCTTCCAACTTTCATAGGCATGATCATCAGTTTGCAGTTCATGCCGACAGATTGGACAAGAATTGTGGTCATCCTGCCACAATTAGAATTACTACAGGTTAAGAATTCGGATTTCACTAAGTNGAGTCTAAATGATTAAGTGATAAAATTTAAGGAGTGTGAGTGTAATTCTCCAAAAAAAAATTGATTCACCGACAACAAAGTCTTTTATAACTCTGTTTGAGAGTCGGTCCTTCAGAGCTCGGCCTTCAGACGCTGTGTATGGAGAGAGAGAGAGAGAGTGGTTCGATACGCTGTGTATCGACGATCATTGAAAAACTGGTTTGCGACTACTTCTCTATCTATCGCGACCAGTTCGCAGCAAAGAAGATCAGGAAAAAAAAATAGAAAAAGAAGAAGAAGATAAAGTGGTATGGGGATCTCTCTGATCTGTATTCAATTCTACAGGTATGTCATACAAATGCTTACAATCTTTGTAGTAGTGGGCCTTTGATTTTNAATCATGGGCTTGACTCAACTCAACTAAATTCAGCAAAGCCTAATCCCAATATTTTTTGGGTCAACTACATGAATCATGTTTTGCCATTCTGCTCTATTAAGTGTCATGTTTTCTATTAAATCATAAACTATCATATCTTTTTTTACTATTTCATTCAATTTTAATCTGAGTCTTCCTCTAACCCTACGTTTACTGCCAATAGTTATTATATCACTTTTTTACCGGTGTCGTATAATCATTGGTTCAAAGTCGCGGTATCGGTCATCAACTCGGATGGCACTGATACACATCGGTCGCAGCGCGCGGTACAGTATCGGCCGATACACTCAAAACGCTAGATAAAAACTCTAAAAAAATTTGAAAAAATCATAAAATTTTTTTGAAAAATATAAACATCATCATCCATACATTATATGCCCACAATAAATCAAAAAACACATTAAACATATTAAAATGAAACATAAGGGCGTTACCGAAAATATTGATCATTATCAATATTCAACTAATTGAAATTAAAATNAGCCAGAGATAAAGAAACTTAAATCTACAAGAACTGAAGCCCAAAAAGATTATTGCTTTTTTTCATTTCCATTGGTAAGTATAAACTTATTACCAGCCATGGCTTAAGGCAAGGAGGGTGAAACGTGTGCTTGCAAGNGTCTTCAGACGCTGTGTATGGAGAGAGAGTGGTTCGATACGCTGTGTATCGACGATCATTGGAAAACTGGTTCGCGACTACTTCTCTATCTATCGCGACTAGTTCGCAGCAAAGAAGATCANCGTCTGGGTCAACTTTAATCAAATTTGGATATGGATATACAATAATCTGATCCTTTATTAATTCGGTCTGAATACAATAAAATATTTTATGTAAATAAATATCACACATATTATATTTATACTGAAAAACANTTATGTTAGATTGAAATATTTGTTGTCTAAGTATAATATTTTAAACTTTAAGGGTCTAAGTAATATATGTTTACAAACTTTAGGGGGGTCTGAAAATAATTTATTAACGGTATATTTACAGCAGGGTCTATCTGTTTCGCTTGTACAAACTTTAGGGGTTTGTATATAATATTTCAAATATTAAGAGTCTAAATGATTAAGTGATAAACTTTAAGGAGTGTGAGTGTAATTCTCCAAAAAAAAATTGATTCACCGACAACAAAGTCTTTTATAACTCTGTTTGAGAGTCGGTCCTTCAGAGCTCGGCCTTCAGACGCTGTGTATGGAGAGAGAGAGAGAGAGTGGTTCGATACGCTGTGTATCGACGATCATTGAAAAACTGGTTTGCGACTACTTCTCTATCTATCGCGACCAGTTCGCAGCAAAGAAGATCAGGAAAAAAAAATAGAAAAAGAAGAAGAAGATAAAGTGGTATGGGGATCTCTCTGATCTGTATTCAATTCTACAGGTATGTCATACAAATGCTTACAATCTTTGTAGTAGTGGGCCTTTGATTTTCGGACTGGTTGAGGGCCTTTTACAGATGTGAGTCTTGAATTTTTCNTCTCTTGTGTGGCTTTCTTTCTTTCTTTCACTTCAATTTTTTTTCCTCCTTTTTTAGGTTCACTCTTCAGATTCTTCGTACACCTTCCTGGGCTGTGAAACATGAATGCTAAGTCTCTCTCTCTCTCTCTCTCTCTCACACACACACATATATAACCCAAAATTCATTTCCCTCTTATTCCCCAGATCCCTCTCTCAAAATACCTAGCCCCTTTCTCATGTGTCCCTCTCCATGAATCTAATTGGTGGACATAANGCCTTCAGACTCTGTGTATGGAGAGAGAGAGAGAGAGTGGTTCGATACGCTGTGTATCGACGATCATTGAAAAACTGGTTTGCGACTACTTCTCTATCTATCGCGACCAGTTCGCAGCAAAGAAGATCAGGAAAAAAAAATAGAAAAAGAAGAAGAAGATAAAGTGGTATGGGGATCTCTCTGATCTGTATTCAATTCTACAGGTATGTCATACAAATGCTTACAATCTTTGTAGTAGTGGGCCTTTGATTTTCGAACTGGTTGAGGGCCTTTTACAGATGTGAGTCTTGAATTTTTCATCTTTTTCCTTTTTATTTTGGATTCTTGCTATTTGTTCAAGATTTTGGAGATTTTTCACAAGATTCGATCATACTGAACCGATCCCGCTATGAATCGTTCGATTCATACTGAGTTGTTACCGAGTTGCTCCGATTTGTGCCGATACGTCCAAGTCTGACCAAGATATCGCCGAGTCAAGTGAAAATCGAAATTTTTGAATAACGGGTATCGATATTGGATCGGTAGGGGCCGAGTCGGATACGACTCGGCCTCCGACTCGGCCGATACTTTGAACCATGCATATAATAGGCCATCTATAAATATGTTCAAACCATCTAATTTGATTTTCTCTTAATTTATCTCCTACATGTGCTACCCTACTTTACAAGGATATATTTGTTAAGATTGTAATTATATTTATTTANTAGTAGTGGGCCTTTGATTTTCGAACTGGTTGAGGGCCTTTTACAGATGTGAGTCTTGAATTTTTCATCTTTTTCCTTTTTATTTTGGATTCTTGCTATTTGTTCAAGATTTTGGAGATTTTTCACAAGATTCGATCATACCGAACCGATCCCGCTATGAATCATTCGATTCATACCAAGTTGTTACCGAGTTGCTCCGATTTGTGCCGATACGTCCGAGTCTGACCGAGATATCGCCGAGTCAAGTGAAAATCGGAATTTTTGCATAACGGGTATCGATATTGGATCGGTAGGGGCCGAGTCGGATACGACTCGGCCTCCGACTCGG